ATCTTTTGAATCAAACATTTTCTATTAAATATCATGTTTTATAGCCTTCTAGTAAGTTGTATTTACATGAGCTGTCTTTGTTGACACAACATATCTAGTAACATCTTATCTTAAAACTTTCAGCTGTATTACATATATACCTAAAAAGTGGTCACTAAGTAATAAGTGATCAGTGTTATGGTTTTCTAGTCCTTGATGTTGACTGAGCTCTGTCTACTACGTTGGATTGTGATCACTGGTTTAAGTAACTTCACATAGTGTTAACTTTGTTTTGATGTTAAGCGATTGAAGATATTCAGCAGGGAACCTTTAGCATAGGTTTTGCGCTAGATTCGTCAAGACTCCAAAAACCCCTTACTGAAGAGCGGTAAGTAGTAATAAACCTAGGTCTATCATCGCTTTCTGATCGCTTATAATATATATATATATATATATATATATATATATATATATAATGCACATTGAATAATACGTGTAATGAATTGCGTTAATATATTATACTTGAACTATAGGCTATTTTTAGTAAGTACATTAACTGAAGTATTTGCATTCGTATATACTACTAAACTTAACTCATTAGCATGACCTTCAACTAAGAATAATCTGTGAGAAGTCTTAAGTCTAAGGATTTCTTCAATCAATCACTTGATAATCTTATAGCTAAAAATGTAGACAGTACTACTTTCTCTGTAAATTGTAGAAAAAAGTTCAGTTTTCATCTTAGTAATTCAACTTATATCATACCTAATGACTAGACATATTTACTAATTATCTAGATAATATATTACAATATAGATCCACGATCATTTATGATTAAGTGTTCTTACTATTTTTTTATATAATTGAAATCATAAGTCAATTGAAACTGGATTACCATGGAAAACCTGGAAGCACTGAACGACCGTTTCGTTCTATTGTGGGACTCCTCAACAGTGCGCATCCACGATCCCACCTTGCGAGATTCGAACCCAGGACCTATCAGTCTCGCGCGCAAACACTTAACCGATTACTAAAACCTCCACAAGACCCCTTTCTGATAATCATTATATGCTCACTAGTGACTGGCTCCATGAGGTATTTCCTGGAGTTCTAGTGAGAAGCAGTAACCAGTAGAGTTCAATCAGATCTGTTTGGAGATATCAACTCACTGAAGACATTGATGAATGGTTGTTCCTACTGTATTAAAGTATATAGAAATATCTTAAATTAATTCTTTCTACATTACTTCAGTATCAATTAATCTGATATATAATAAAATTAACTGAAAAATGTTTTTAGAATACTATCAAAAATTTTTCTTAAATAAAAATATTTGTAGAAAATAGATTAAATCATTGATCTTCAACATTTAAAAAAGTTTTTTTTCTTTTTTTTAAGAATATAAGGCAAAATTTATTGACATAAGTTATATGATTGTAATCTCCATTTTCATGAATAATAATGATGTTCAAAAATACTTATATAAATTGATATAATCAAAGATATATTGCGGGTTTTTTTTTATAATGCATGGATAAAAACTCCAAGACAATTCATTGAATTCTAAAGATATCTCTTTTCAATAATAATAAGCTATGATAGTCCATCTACTTATTTTGATGAAAACAGTGAACGTATGAGATCTCTCGTATCATTGATTCACTGTCGAGATAACTATTAATGAACTGAAACTAGGTAAATAGTCTGTTTAGCCAGATATTAATTGGAAGGTCAATTGATTCAAGTAACTACTAAGAACTTGAGAAAATGCTTGCAATAGTGATAACTGTTATATGGCTGATTCATTGGTATAAATGCAAAGTATTAAAAAGGAGTGAAATCAATGTACTCTAAATGTTTGTTCTAGTGACCTTAGTTCGCGTCTTTCTTAAATAGACCATTTCATACAATGACAGTTGATTGATATTTCATTCAGAAATCATAAACCAAGTTTTTACATAATCAATAACTTTAATATAGTACCATTTATGAAAAAAGAACAAAAAACTGTAAAAATGAAGTATTTCTTTAAGATATATTTGCAATCTGAAAGAACACAGGAATGTGAATTCTATTCCATAATATATTCTATAAGTTGACCAGTATCATTATTTGTGAAACTTTTTCGATTAGCTGTATGTATCTTTTCTTTATTCTTTTATAAGAAAATTCAACTATTCCATTAAAAAATGTCACCTAATATAAAAACAATCTAGTATATTAAATTCACTTAGTATTGTTTGTCTGAATATTCCCATTGATGTTTAGGACTGCAACGGGTCAGTCTCTTATTGGTATATGTGCATACTGTGCGTATTGCCTCGATATAGCATTATTTCACAAGCATTGTAAGCAAAGATGGATAGTGGTTATCAGTGGAATCCAGAACGCGCGTTTCGTCCCATTTGGGACCCGTCAGTTGGATGTACCTGCATCTAAGTTGATGTTCACTCTGATACTCCAACCCAGTACCTTTCGCTTCAAACGGCATCACGTTATCCACTCAGCTACTGAGTCCTTATAGCTACTCGCTTGAAAGTCTATTGAAAGTCTATTATTCAACTCATCTTAACTTATGATAAAAGTTAAATTTATATGGATCTATTTATTGTTCAATTAAATTAAAGTATACCTTCACAAACTGACTAACTTCTAGAAATCTACATTATTATTTTGCAGAGAATTTTTTGATAAGTTGCGTTAATATTATATCTATGTATGAGTTTTGACTAAACTCAAAATATTCACTGCCTCCAAATGCCCTGGTACGGCCGAGAGTGAGGAGAGTCCGCTCTCCCTCTCGAAATGTTCTCACATGGTCACGCGTATATAGCCTCTGTCAGGGAAGTCCTAATGACTGCCTTCTCGTGGCGCAGGTGTTGTTTACGAAAGTGAGAGGACGTAAAGCGAATGTCCGGCGCTTTAACCGGGTTGGTTAACACGACGTGTCCACCTAGGGAAGTTGGGAAACCCTGATTCCAAAACAATGGTGCACATGGACTCCAGTAACCTGAGGGGACAAATGGCGTATGAATCAATCGTTGGTCATCGGCTACCATAGGACTGCGTCTCTTTACGTCGTTCCACTGCCTCGTGGATCAGAACTTTTGGTCCAAGGCTCGGGGTGTGGCTCCTTAAGAAAACCACCTGCTTCGGTTTGATCACCCAAGCAGTATCATAGCCCTCACACAAATCAAATGAGATTTGTGTGGCGCATCTATATCTGGTGCCCCCTTGTACTAATATTTATGTGTTCAAATAAATAAATAAATAAAAATATTCACTTAAATTAAGTTCATAAGTTTTAACAAAAGAGGTAAATTTCTTAAAATGACTTCTTATTATATTTCATACTGACTTTAATAAGTATTTCTCAGATCATAAACTTCATAATATACCGTTCATATACATGTATTCATGAATCAATTTAAACGAATGGAATTAATTTCGGAACATAAAAGGATGCTTTTCGATTTACACTTTTTGTTTTAAGTATTTCAATGTATCATTTCTGTCATTTTTATCCTTAACTAATTACTTGTCATTCTATATGTAATACAATCGTAATATGTTGGTTAAACATTGAGTATGTGAATAGAAGTTTCAATTTTCTTGCAAGGCTTTTATCCCTAGATTATTGTTCTATGGTAACTTAAAGATCGGTTTTGGTACCAAATACAAGTTTTAACCAACTTAGTTATTAAAGTGTTTAATTGAGTATAATTGTCATCATAACTCTGTACATTGAATAATAGATTATTTGAGATAAGTTTACAAACAATTCCTATGGGGTTTTACAAGTTTCATTCATTTAAATCACTATCCGAATATCTTTAAAAATAAAACTGTGTTGAATTTCATCAATTGAAAGCTACCATTATTACATGTTTTTCCGTTTATTGTTAACTATAAAATGCACTCCAGAATGATTAATAATTTTAAGGTTCTTAGTTATATAGCAAATACATTTTATTTTCGAAACAGCGGAACATACGGACCATCATCTTCATGAAGATAAATTATTTGAACAGTTTGATATACGCATGTTAAAAATGTACTTACTTACACCTGTTACCCCTCACGGAGGAGCATAGGCCGCCCACCAGCATTCTCTATCGAACTCTGTCCTGCTCAATCTTTACCAGTTTTCATTCATCATTTTAATGCCTACTTACAATTCTCGACGCAGTATGTTCTTTCGTCTTCCTCTCTTTCTTTTCCCTTCAAGATTGCCGTAATGTGTGTCCTATACACCTCTAAAGTCTTATTCTAGTTTTCTCTTCACATAGAAGCTAATTTGTTCTCCCCATAGTAGGTTGTTGCTTGTTGTATCCGACCAACAAAGAACACTGCGTATGTTGCGTAGACAATTGTTTGAAATACTTGTACTCTTCTGGTGATAGTTGCTGTAGTTCTCCAGGTTTCAACTCCGTATGGTAGAATTCCACCTGTAGCTTCTCTTAGGTTACTGATAGTCCCATGTCCGATTATAGGAGAACGGTTTGTCATGGATTCATCTACTTCATCCCTTAGAAAACAACATTGCTAAATAAGAGTATATTAATAATGGACTTTTCATTATTCGATGCTAGTTTTATAAACACTTGTAGATTTCTAATAATATTTTTATGACCATTTTTTGGCTGACGTTTTACTATTCTTATAACACATATATGTTAGTGTAGAGTCGTGATAAAAGGCTATTAACATTACTAGCGTCTTACCAAATAAGTGTTCGGGAATGTCTACTTTGCTAAAACGAATTGCAAAATATCACTGGTTTTTATCTTACCACACATAAATGACCTGTATAGACTTATATACGTTTTCATACAACATTGTTGAAATATGAAGATCAACAATGTGAAGGATACCAGGAGTTAAAAAGAAATTCGTTAGAAATTTAACAAGATTGCTTTATTTTATTTTCAAAACAATTGATTGCCTACTACTAAATATTCAGTAGTATGTGTATAATTTGTGTTTTGTTATATCGGTGCATCTTTATGTATTGATGTGATTCAACTGCATGCACAATTTGTTTTTACAGCCTTAGGCAAAGTTTCCGTGACCAGTTGATCTTTATGATCTTTATAAAGTATTGTGAATGGTATGGTTTCATTGGCAGCACAGCATGGCATTGAATTATAGATAGCTTCTCGTTCCACAGAACCCAGTCCAGAGAAATAACGATTCATTAGAATACTGTGAGCATTATCTGTCGGCATGTAAAGTCCTGTAATCCAAATGAAAGTAAAAAATAAATTTCGGTTTCAAATATTATATCACTAAATGATAGACCGTAATGCTACGGTTTCTATTGATATAAACATGTAAATTTAAGTAAAATAATTTACGTAATAACCTGTTATTATTCGTAATAATGTGTATTTTGTTGTTGCTGACGTACAATAATGAGAAACACGTTGTCAATTTTATTGAGTTCAACCATCTTATAATAAAATAAAGCTTGTAATCGTGAACCATACCGAATCATTAACTCTTGTGTACATGTTTTCTATATACGTTGATTGAAATTCAAACCCCTACTGCTACTATAAATAAGTATCGTAACTAGTGAAAACGTTGAAGTTTATTGCAACTTAATAGCGCAGCAGATCATGTTTTTGCATTTTGAAAATCTACGTAGTTGGTCCGAGTGCAATTTTGAATATTCAATTACTTGTAGATGATGAGTTTACAACAGGAAAAAATGGAAGTCCAGAATTTCGTTTCTAGCAGCTGTTCGAAAACTCTAAGAATAGATAATAACCATTTTAGAAAAATTTAGCTACCATGTTTAGACAATTTAATGTATACACAACTTGTAAACCTTCGAAACGATGTGTTGAAACCAAGTCTATAAACAAATAATTTGAACGTCAAATAGACAAAAAAAACCCTATTTGAAGTATTATATGGACTACTCAGTAATCATTTTACTTCAGTTGCATTTACTTATTTTATTGAAGATAAGGAGAGATATTTATCTGTGATTTCACTTAGAATCACTATTAAATCTATAAAACAATCTTGAACATTCTAATCAACAGTCAAAATGATTAACACCCAATAAGCATTGAGTACTAGATATTCAGTCTAGAAAATACCCTAATAGTATAAATCTATAAATTGGAAATTACCAAGGTCAAGGTAACAATGAATGACAACCGATAATTTTGTCGTGTGCTAACTGTTTATAAATATATTTAATGTCAACTTTCTCATAGATTTAAGCTGCTTACTGTCTTTTTAACTGGTTATCACTTTATTAAGATGTATTTCTCAAGTAGAAAACAAAATATTTATCTAAGTCTTCTATTTTCATATGATTTTTTCTGGTTAGCATGGCCATTAGACAAATCAAGAGCGGCAAAGCAGCAGGACCAGACAACATCCCGGCAGAGGCACTCAAAGCAAATGTAGCAGCAACTGCCAAGATACTACACATACTCTTCAGTAAGATTTGGGACGAAGAACAAGTGCCAACAGACTGGAAAAAAGGACTTCTGATCAAAATACCAAAGAAAGGTGATCTCAGCAAGTGCGACAACTACAGGGGCATCACTCTCCTCTCAATACCAGGGAAAGTCTTCAACAGGGTATTGTTAAACAGGATGAAGGATTCCGTGGACGCCCAACTTCGAGATCAACAAGCTGGATTTCGTAAGGATATATCGTGCACAGATCAAATCGCAACTCTACGTATCATTGTGGAACAATCAATCGAATGGAATTCATCACTCTACGTCAACTTCATCGACTACGAGAAGGCATTTGATAGCGTGGACAGGACGACACTATGGAAGCTTCTTCGACACTACGGCGTGCCTGAGAAGATAGTAAATATCATACGGAACTCCTATGATGGACTAAACTGCCAAATCGTCCACAGAGGACAACTCACCGACTCGTTTCAAGTAAAGACCGGTGTTAGACAAGGTTGCTTACCTTTGCTCACCCTTTCTCTTTCTCCTGGTGATCGACTGGATCATGAAGACGTGAACGACTGGAGGAAAGCACGGGATACAGTGGACAGGCAGGATGCAGCTTGACGATTTAGACTTCGCGGATGATCTGGCTCTTCTATCACAAACGCAACAACAAATGCAGGAGAAAACGACCAGTGTAGCAGCAGCCTCAGCAGCAGTAGGTCTCAATATAAACAAAGGGAAAAGCAAGACTATCCGATACAACACAATATGCACCAATCAAATTACACTTGACGGAGAAGCTTTGGAGGATGTGGAAACCTTTACATATCTGGGCAGCATCATTGATGAACATGGTGGATCAGATGCAGATGTGAGGGCAAGGATCGGCAAAGCAAGAGCAGCATACTTACAACTGAAAAACATCTGGAGCTCAAAACAATTGTCAACCAACATCAAGATCAGAATTTTCAATACAAATGTCAAGACAGTTCTTCTGTATGGGGCGGAGACGTGGAGAACTACGAAAGCCATTATCCAGAAGATACAGGTGTTTATTAACAGTTGTCTACGCAAGATACTTCGGATCCGATGGCCAGACACTATCAGCAACAAGTTACTGTGGGAGAGAACAAACCAGATTTCAGCGGAGGAAGAAATCAGGAGGAAGCGCTGGAAGTGGATTGGGCACACTTTGAGGAAATCACCCGATTGCGTCACAAGACAAGCCCTCACATGGAATCCTGAAGGTCGACGGAGAAGAGGAAGACCAAAGAACACATTACGCCGAGAAATAAAGACAGATATGAGAAGAATGAACAAGAACTGGATAGAACTAGAAAAGAAGGCCCAGGACAGAGTGGGTTGGAGAATACTGGTCGGCGGCCTATGCTCCATTGGGAGTAACAGGCGAAAGTAAGTAAGTAAGTCTATTTTCATATAGTTAAGATCATGAGTCAATTGAAGCTAGACCACCATGGAAAACCTGGAAGCACTGGACGGCCGTTTCGTCTTATTCTACAAATTTAATCGTGTATTTTTAGCATAGAATATACAAAAATTAGTAATATGTTTTTAATAGTTTTTAATGTCAATCTGTTGTATCAATCGCTTGTTTCATAATTAAACTAGACAAAAAAACTGATATTATTTCAAGTCACTAAGACTGGTGATCACATTCCAATTTGATCGACAGAGATTGATTAGCTCTCAAGGTTTCACAAAAATGACATTGATCAGTCATTATACATTGATCAATCAATCTGAAAAACGAAAATAATTGTTTCATACCTCAAAAACACCGTAAAACATTATAGATAATAAATGATTAGCTGATTTATCAAAATTAAACCTGACATTTGATAATATTGCTTTTTATTGATTATTTTTATTATAACAAAACTTTGTTCTATGAATTTATAGTAACTAATTGAACACTGATAACACTCTGGAAAATAATCAACATTATAATTTGTATTCTTCAGTGTGCCTTTCATTTGTTTAACAACTTAAAGACATTAAAAGTATTTCATGTTTAGTTTTGTCACGAAAATTCACTAATGTTTGCTGTTTTCTACTCAGTATATTTAAAGAAGAAAAAACAGACTGTCTAAATTTAGTCTAATGACATAAATAAGTAATTTAATAGTTGAGATTATGAGCCAATTAAAACTAGATCACCATGGAAAACCTGGAAGTATTGGACGGCCGCTTCGTCTTACGTACCGGACTCCTCAGTAGTACACATCCACAATCCCGCCTCGTGAGATTCGAACCCAGGACCTACATGTCACACGCGCGAACGCTTAACTCTAGAACACCGAGCCGTCATCCAATGGTGTTGATGTCTAACTTCAACCAATCCGCGAAATTGAGCGACGCATCCACCATTGTCTTCAGTGAGTTACTATCTCACAACAGACCCGGTTGAACTTCACTGGTCACATCTTCTCACTAGAACTCCAGGAAATACCTCTTGAAACCAGTCACTAGTGAGCATATGCCGATTAGTATCAGTATGGGGTTTTTGCGGATATTATAATAATTTCAATAGTTGAGATCATGATCCAATTCAAGCTACACCATCGTGGAAAAACCTGGAAGTACTAGACGTTCTGTTGTGAAATAGTAACTCATTAAAGACAGTAATGGATGTGTCGTGGATGCCGACTCAGTGGTTCAGAGATCAAGCGTTCACGCGTGAGACAGATAGATACTGAGTTCGATTCTCGCGGGGCGAGATCGTGAAGGAGTACTGTTGAGGAGTCCCACAATAGGACGAAACGGCCATCGAGTGCTTCCAAATTTTGCATATTTATTTAGCTTCAATTGGCTCATGATCTCAACCATTAAAATTACTACACTATCCATAAAAACCCTTTTCTGATGTAAATAAATCTATACAAGAATGTAATATCATTCCAACCCTTTAAATAAATTATTTGTATGTATCTGAAAAATTGCATATCATTTCATTCATTGTTTTATTCTACATTACTATTTTGTAACAAATAAATACAGTTACAATTCTAAAATAGAAAAATAGTAAAGTACCAACCGGTTTTTATCCTTCATGGTCATTTTTAAAAATCAATTTTTATTGATGACAAATAATGGGAAATAATAGTTTTTTTATATAAAACTAGAAAGGCTTATATAAGATTTTAAAAAAAACATCAATTGAATATGTTTCTTTATTTATAAAACTGAAGATAAAATTACAAAATAATGAATATTTAATGATTTTATTGATTAGAAGTTAGATACAAGATAGGATCATTTCTAAATTGATGACTGGAAAGATAATAAAAGAAATTTAATCTGGATCCAATGAATTGATGGATGGTAACTAATACTGGTTAATCAAGTTGTTCAGTGTTTAAAAAAAAATATATATATATATATATAATCAGACGGCATTTGAAGTTTAAATATCATCGGAGACTATAAGTCTATGAACAGGACTTTGATTTTAGTATTTAAAATTATTATTATTAATATTCTGAGGAACAATTCACTTTACTCTTCTTCAGGTTGGGAAACATTCAATATCTTTGTAATATAAGAAATACGTTTTATATTCATTGATTAAATGTCTTAAAATTCTTGCCACTTGATAAATAAACAACGTATTCACTAAGCACAAACTTAATTTACTACTGTAGTGGACAAGAATACGAGTGAAGACAATCGAACGTACTTAGGCAAAAATTCCAGAATATCTCAGTAAAATATGAGAACCATATAGTAAATATTGTAAGCAAAGATGAGTAGTGGCTAGCAGTAGAATCGAGGATGAGCGTTTCGTCCTATTTGGGACTCATCTGCTGGATGTACCTGTATCTCAGAGTTGATGTTCACTCTGGGACTCGAACCCAGTGACTTTGACTTCAAACGCCATCGCGTCATCCACTCAGCCACTGAGTCCTGATAGCCATTTGCTTTTAAATTGGGGCGAAGTTTAAATTCATTTGCTATTGTTAGTTTGAATCTTGTTTAAAACAGGACTCAGTGCATGAGTGGATAACACGACGGCGTTTGAAGCAAAAGGTACTGGGTACGAGTACCAGAGTGAACATCAACTTAGATGCAGGTACATCCAACTGACGAGTCCCAAATGGGACGAAACGTGCGTCCTGGATTCCATTGATAGCCACTATCCATCTTCGCTTACAATGCTTGTGAAATAATGCTTTTCGGAGGTAATACGCACAGTATGCACATATACCAATAAGAGACTGACCCGTTGCAGTCCTAAACATCAATGTGAAGATTCAAACAAACAATACTAAGTGAATTGATATAGTAAATAGTTAGTTTGCAAACTACTAATCAATTGTCTTGATCTTGACTGTTTCTTCTGCAAATATCAATCCATCGTTTTCAATTATTATTGTTCATACATTTCATACCGATTGCGTTTCGTTATCGATCTTCTACTGAAATATATTCAATACCTAACTATAGTCATATACTACTTATGTGAATATAATTAATCCACACTACATTAACATCATATAATATATTAATTAAAATACTAAATAACTTACCAATACATCTACCATGACACATATTTATTGGTAAATGATGTGGAAATATAATAAATCTTAATTTATCATTTTGATCCATTTGCATTTTATTTAATGTATAACGAAATAGACAACATTTTGTTTCACGTTTATTATGATCTAAAAAACTTGGACATGATTGAATATTATAATGATTTATTAATTTATTTGATTCAATTAAAAATGATCGATGTATTAAACGTTTTTTTATGAAATATTGATTTTCTAATTTTAAAATATTTAATGTTTTCATATTTAATATAATTTGTGTATTATAACTTAATATATTATCGATTATATTATGATGATGATTATTATTATTATTTTTATTGATTTTTAATAAATTTTTTTTCATAAAAATATTTTCAAATTTTTCATTGAAATCATTATTATTATTATTATTATTATTATTATTATTATTGTTATCATTATTATTATTATTATTATCATTATTTGTAAACTCAAGGTCATGATCATTATCTTCATTGAAATGTTCATTTGAAAGTATTTGTTTTAATTCATCTTGATTTTCCATTGGTACATCTTCAATAATCATCGTTGATGTACTAAAAGGTTTTGATAATAATTGATTAGATAAATCAATATAATTTAAATGAATATCATCGACATTTTTATTACTTTGATCATTATCATCATCATGATTATTAGTAACTAATGTCATTATTATTGAATGAATTAAATGATATTTAGAATATTGTAAATTTTTTATCATACTACTTATATCCCATATAACTTGACGATATTTTAATTTTATATTAGAATATTTTAAATCATTTTGAATTGTTTTATTATTTAAATTAATATAAAAATGTTCATATATTTCACTTTTTGAATTCATAAGAAAAACATGTAATTTTAATTGATTTGGATTAATCCATGAATGAATATAAGTTGATATAGTAGCTAAATGTATTTTATTTTTTAATAGAATAGATGATGGATGAAATATAAAACAATATTTTAATTGTTTCATTGTATTGATTTCACATGGAACTAAAAAAAGGAAAAAAAGAAAAAAGAGAAAAGAAGGAGAAAGAAGTGAATACTCAGTATATTTATTAAAGTGTAAGGTTTTTTTAAATATAGTTGAGATCATGAGTCAATTGGAGCTAGATTATCATGGAAAACCTGGAAGCACTGGACGGCCGTTTTGTCTTTGTAATGATTGAGAAGTAAGTTATTTTAAAGATTTTCAAAATATGGAAATAAAAGGTGTAAAAAGAATATGTCTTGTTATGAAAAGTTTTATCGGTTTTAAAGTGATCACATATTGTGATTAAACTAATGATTGGAATCCAAATGACAGAAATGTATGATCTTATATCTACTGATATATTTGATTAAAACAGATAATTTGTGAGGTATGTTCAGGTTTTTAAATAACACACAATACTGTCTAACTTTGGATCGAAAATTGAGAACCATAGGATTATCAGTAAGATGCACTTATAACTCTTCAAGGGATAGGATAAAGAACCTTTTGAACTTACGATGTGTGTGATACATTTGAAACCAAAACTAAGACATGAAAGTTGTTAACTTCCATTTGATTTACTATAGTTATTTAATAGAAGTTAATTAATGATGTATATTGTTTTCACATTGCCATTTGATAACTATATTGTTTTATTATGACAGATTTAATCAACCACAGTGTGAAATTATGGACTGACAGTTATAAAAGACATTTTAGAAATCCCGAGAGATAGTCTAGGAACATGTAGAGCATTAGTCTAGTATGATATATACCCGATGGTATATGCATTTATTTCACATCATGATGACATCACTGTTCAAATGTTATTCCATTTTTGGCAAGACTATAATTTATGAAAGAATCAATCAGTTATAAGATAGCGAGTATTCGATTTCGGCACGAAATTCATTCATACATTCGGCTATATAACATTTTGGCATTATGTCTTATGTCAGTTCGTGATGAAAACTCTAAATGTAATTCCTAACTCTAACCATCGACTGTAAATCATAATTCTAACTGCTTTATAACCCTCATTTGCAGTTAAACATTCTCAAAGTCGCATGAGCACCGCTTAAAGGTCTTCCATAAATCATAGTCTCACTCATTTTTTTGATACAAAATGAATGAACAGTCAAATGAGTCCACATCACCTTCCAGCAAATCGGTTAATTCTTTAAAACTCATAGGCTCATTAAAATGTTTGTTCGGTGTACAAGAATTCTCGTTAAATCCTTATCAATATATTCTAAATAGAATTATTTGAAAGCAGGAAGCATAACTAGTCATTTCAAAGATAATGTCTAATATTCCATGTGACATTCTCTTTGAAACAAACATTATCATTATTATCATAATATATTATCATTTATGATTTAAATCATTTCAAACAATAATTGATAGGAAATTATCTATATTGGTTTAGCATTGATTTCACTTGTTCTATCGTGTACATATTTTTCAATGTAGCTTTCTTTTTCCTTAAATTTGAGACCAATTTGAGATTATTTCAGTCTACTTATTGTAAATAATCTGTGTTTTTTTGTATTTAATTTCATTGGGGAGTATTCTAATGATATATATTGTTAAATTTATGATCTTTTACCTGAATCACATAAAGTCTGTTAGTTACACAAACTTCACGAATAAAAACGTTTAAAATTCAATGTTTCTTTTAAGCTATGGCACGGAACCTAATAATGTGAAAAAAAAACTTAACTATGATAAAAAATGTTGGTGAAATGATTTTATTTTTCAAAAAAAACTATATTTTATCGACTTGAACTTTATTGTAGTTGAGTAAAATAATAATCACTATCATTGTCTGAAATTTATGCTAGAAATAAGCTTTATCGTACGTTTTTCAGTATTCTTCTGTATAATAGAATGATTTATAATAGATAGAAACTCGTGTGATTCCATAAAATGGTACATCCTTACTTTTAATAAATATTTTAACCTTAAAATCAGGATCATTATCAAGTAAACTAAACATTGATAATCATTCATTTAGAAATATTGTAATTCATCATTTATTAAGTTAAATAACTAGTTATTTAGTCACATCCATTAGATGAATGAATTATAATAGTCAATAAGAAACCTTGAATCTAAGCTTCTTTCTAATTATTAGTTGTCAATCAAACATACTACCAATCTTGTATGAACTACTAGTTCCTATAAAATTCGAATCTCTGTTATCCAACCTCACAATTTAAGACATTACCACTGAGGTATTTAACTTCAAATCAATGTGCTAAATGAAATGTTTATGCTCACAAAAGTTTGTGTTATGTATAAGATTTTGTAAGTAAGCAGTTAAAAATTAACAAAACTCTAAATTATAATAGAACACCCTTAAATCCAAATATAATTTAAATTATCCATCTATTAAAAGACTAATATTTGAACGAAGAATTTTCTGTTCGATAAATTCTCTTCAGGTTCTACAATTATACATCCAAATTATTAATAATCCGAAAAACTGACCAAGTTAAAGGCAAAGTACATCGTTTAAAGCATGTAAATTTAGGGTTGTCAAACCAAATAGAATAAAATTGTTAATGTTGATATGACTCTCAAATAAAATGTTAACCTGAATCTGTATATATGTTAAGTGAAAATTTAAGATCTGTGATCAGAATATAAATATGGGTCAGATAGGGTGAGAGGGATATGATAGTGCAATTACAATTCGATCAAATGTTTAATGGAAGACTAAGTTGTGTGAAAAATTAGTAAGATGTAATAAAGAGGGACGGATGTGATTTGAATAAATCATGTATAGCGGAGATTATTAATCATGTTTAACCAATAATAATAATAACATAAAGATTTGTGAATAAAGATAACAGAGACAATTACATTTGACTACGAAATGTCATAAGTACAATAGTCAAATTAGATTATTCAATAGCTAAGATTACTATGGATTAGATGGATTAATTAGCCTTATGGTTTCCTCCTAACTTGGACATTTTTTCGGATTATTAAGTTGAATATATGAATTGTAGAACCTAAAGAGAATTTATGGAAAAGAATATTCTTCGTTCAAATATTATCTATCTATTAACCGAGAGAAAAAAATTAGAGTAAAATCATTTTCATATTAAAACATCATTTATAAACAAAGAAAACAGAAAATAAAAAACTAAAAAAATTAAATTTCATTAAATATTTTCCACAACAACAAAAAAAGAAAAAAGAAAAAAAACGAAAAAAAATTCTAAAAAAAACAACAAAACTTACCTATCCGAAGAAATCTAATTGATTTATGTAAATCATTATAAATATCATTAGATATTTTACCATATTTATAATCATATAAAAATTGTTCATTATTTAATAAATTAATCCAATTTTTCACAATATTTGGTATCATTTTACGTATATTTATTAATTCATAAATTGTCATATTTTTTGGTATCCCTTTTAATGTTGAGATCATTTGAAGTATTTCAGAATCACGTAATATTAATTCATTGAAATTTATAGTATAAACTTGTTTATTTAAATGAAATAAAATTATTATAAATAATAATAAAATTTTATAATAATTATATAATAGAAATTGATAATTCAATAACATTTTACATAATCAATTATCGATTTATTTATTTTTTTATAGTATTTTAGTTGCTATGCTCAATTGTAAAAAAAAACAATTAATTAAATTTCAATTAGATAGAATTGGTTAAAAAGGATTGAAAATGAATCCATCCAAAATTTTAATGATAATTTAAATTCGTTTAATGATTATTTATATATTGGCATGCATTATATGCCTTAAGTTATAATGATATTTATCAGGTTAATACATTGAAACTGTTAACCAACTAACTATTCATTCATGTATTTATATACCTATATATATATACATTTAATTGGCTTATGTAACATTTACTCATTACTTTTTTGTTACTCAGACAGTTATGTAACATTATTCTCAATTTTTATCAATTATAATATTCAATTCTCTTATTATATCCATTACAGGCAACAAACAAACAAGTCGTTTTTTTTGCTTGTATTGTTTCATTTTTTTTAAGTGGGAGAGAGAGTGAGTGAGTGAGTAAGGGATAGAAAAGGATAGTCATAACAAAAATGATAAAACAGCAACAAAAAAAACAAAAATATATTAGTATGAATAATAATAATATTAATAGTGATAACAGTTATACCCTGTTAGCCAACCAAATTTCAATTGTCCAGTAATATACTCTTACTATACAACAATATTTGTACTATAAAATAATAAATAATAAATATCAACCAAAATGATAAAGGACGAATAAATAAATGAGTAAATGAGAAAATAATTATAAGATAATTTGTTGTTATTCTATTCCAAAATTATTTTTCTCTCTCATCCCTTACAAAACAACGAACATATCTGTGTATATATGTCCTTATTTGAATGTTTAAATATTTGTATCCGTATGAATGAAATTGAGCAATAATAAGATGAAGTACATTAAATTTATCACCTTGTATTTTGAATAGTTTTCACTTGAATTTACACTCTTCTTATAACTAAAGACTTATACATATATACAATCATACTCTTACCTATACATATACACATACAAATAGAACTTTAAAAGTTAGTAACGAAAACAGAGAGGAAGAAAAACAAGACGACTATCATTAATAGTTTAAAAAGTTTGTTTTTTTTCCTTTTTTTTTTAAAAAAAACGTTAAATTTAGAAATAAATGCACAATAGCTACATTATTATTATTAACATATGTTGTTATTTCATTTTCTTTTTTAGAATAAAAGAGTACTGATATCATATTGCCTACTATCTTGTTATAGTTTATAGGGAATACTACATTGAATGTGTATTACAATGTTTGTAGTATCAACCTACTATTTATTTTGTAGAGAAAATCACTTGGGATTAATGTTTATGAATAAATTATATATATATATATAGATAGATATAGATGGATATAGATAGATAGATATCACTGACTAATTCGATACTTGAAGTAACTCACTGAACCTCAGATCATATACAACTTAATTTAAAGCAAATAGATACTTACAAAGAGTAGGATAATTTCATAATATTTAACAAAAAAAAACATTTATGTAACATAATTAAAAATAACATAGATAATTACAACATAGTGATCATTTATAGATCAATGATCATTTGAACAAATTAAGATGAAAATTAATTACTATGCAGTATTTTCTACATTTTATATTACTTAGACAATGTTATACATGAACTATAGTTGATTAACTTCTAATTTTAAAACAAGGTTAATAATTATTATGAATTCTCAGAAAGGGGGGTTTTGTGCAGATTTTCTTATTCTTATGTCTACAACACAATGAATAACGATTATTCCTAAGTAATGATTAATATTATCATCTATAACATTATATACTACTTTAAAAGAACTACCGATATAGTATAAGTAGTATATTTTAATTATATACATTATTGTTTTATTCTATCAAACAGTAATTTGCATTATTCATGAATAGTTTATATTTAAATTAGAAAATGATACACTTTCAATAATTTAAAACATAAATGATTTAATTATACTATATTATTTTTTAGAAAGTATTTACTAAGTAGTATAAAAACGTAGTAGTATATACGAAGGCAGATACATTTATTAGTTATATGAAGAAAATTATCCCTAGTTATCTTTCTTAAAATGTTGATTGAATATATAAACGATGATAATTCCATTGCAAATTTAAGTTACAGAAAAAGCATTTGTTAGAAATAGTTTTTAAGAAAACAGTAAGTTCATTGTGTTTATTCACTTGCAATTTTGAAAGCTTGCACTATAAGCTTATCGTGCTTAACATATATATATATACGTTGTTCCTTTATAAGCAAACGTTTCTCGTGGCGGGGGTGTTGTTTACAAAATTGAGAGGACGAAAGGCGAATGTCCGGCGCTTTAACCGGGTCCGTGAACACGGAAAATCCACCTAGGGAAGTTGGAAAATCCTCATTCCAAACCAATGTTACACAGGGGCTCCAATATCCTGAGGGAACAAATGGCGTATGAATCACTCATGGGTCACCGGTTACCATGGGACTGCATCTCCTCATGATGCTCCACTGCCTTGTGGATCAGATCTTTAGGTAAAAGTCTCCAGGTGTATTCTCTTAAGAAAACCATCTATTTTGGTTTGAGCTCTCAGGCAGTATCACAGCCCTCACACAAATCAAATGAGATTTGTGTGGTGCATATGCACCTTTATACCAATATTTATGTGTTCAAATAAATAAATAAATAAACGTTTCAAGAAATTTGCTAAAAAAGTTTGAGGTCCCTTGAAAGTACTTCTAAAAAACCTTTGACCTGAACAAACGATAATTTTCACAAGGACTGTTGATAGACATTCAGTAAATAATAGACATTAAAAAATGTCGATAAAGCCCCTATGAAACATTTTCCAATCTCGATAAAAGAATCATTCGGATAGATTATATTAGTTACTTGGAACTTATTGATCAATGAATGAAAAGCTGCTTGAATTTACAAAACTATACACAACATTTCATACTACATCAAGCTATATAATTGATGAGGATACGTACAATTCATTCATCTCCTCTGAATATTAACAGAAAATTATTGAATGTTTGGGGACAAACACTTACTTACTTACGCCTGTTACCTCTCGTCGAGTAGCATAGGCCGCTCACCAGCATTCTCCATCCAATTCTGTCCTGAGCCTTGGGGACAAACACACGGTTGTTTAAAAAACAACTGCAGGTTGAATAATTTCATATTAGGAATGTGATTACTTACAAGTAACACCAATTAATCCTATAACATTTATACTAACCTTCTGGTTATGTGATTACCCCAAATAACTTTGTTAATTTTTAGAATTCAAAAATACTTTTATTCATAGTTATCTACCTATTTCACCTGATTCTTTCTTTTATACTGTTAGTTTTGTTTTGTAGCTAAATATTTCTTTATGCATATAACTCATGTTTATAGAGGGCTAAATAATGCTGATGGAAAGCAAATTTAGTTATTTTTCTATGTTAAATTCAGAGTCTGTCTGTAAGATAGTTTCTTCATATTTAGTAGGATTTTCATCTGACAACTAAAATTGTTTTGGTGGAGGGCATTCACAAGTGAGCGGTTTTTAGACTACTTCATACAGAGAAAATATCAGTTCTAAAAGATTTTAACTGTGTTTATACTGTTGTGTATACTACTTATGTTGACAGATATCCATAGCATGTCACAAAAACCAGGAGTGGAATACCTGCTAGCAGAAGATTGAAAAGGTTGAATTGAAGAGTACAGAAAAGAAAACAGTGGAGAATTGTAATGACGATGGAATTGAAAGAATCCTGAACCATGTAAAGGAGAGATGAAAGAAGATGTGCAAACGAAATATTTAATGTGTTGTTTTCATATTTTATGCAAGCATTTTTTTTTCAATTGAACAACAAATCGGTATCATCTACCTGAGTTTTCTTTCACCACGACACCACAGCTATTAATTCGGTCATGTTGTTTTCATATGAACTGATGGCATGGAATCGATGAGATTACGTTTTAAATAGTGACAGTTGCTATGTTAAATTGAAATGTCATATGAAAATAATGTTCTACATTTGTATTGTTATCTATATATATGCAATAATGAATTTGAATATGAATAATATTTAAAATACCTTACTTATCAGCAGGAATTCAGTTCTTTCATACTTTCAGAACTATATATATATAATAACAATTACGATTTGGATGTAGAGCTTTTGATTAACGGTTAGTATTTAAGACAAGGATAGAGTTTGGCTTTTACGACTAAATTTTAGATTTAGGGTGTATATAGACTGACTGTAAAATCTAGTCCAAATACTAAGCCTTATTACCAAAACCTATATAATTGTCCTAACTCTAATCGTTAATAATAACACAATATGACAACTTTAACCGTAAGAAAAAATAGCACTGGAAAAGCATTCTTTACAAACGACTACAAATTAGGAATAACTAGACAAGTATTTCATGGTGACTTGTGCCTCATAGACAGTGTTCACTCATAACATTTAAGCAGTAGAAAACTTGGGGGAAACAAATGCTCACAATAGTGTTATCACAATTCTTTTTTGATACCGACTAAAAATGAGTGCGTCTGTCAACCCGGATATTGTATAAATTAAACAATTTATTGATCACGATATATCTAAATCCGTTTTGATTCACGAAACTATACAGATCTTGTCTTCAAATGACATGTAACGTTATTGCTCCTCACAAAAGCGGGAAAATATTCTTCTTTCAGTACAGCTTAAATTTAGAGAAGGCAGTGCGTTTTTCAATTCATCATGTTAACTTGCTTCAAAAAAGGAAATTGTAATAAACCAAAATGAATAACACTTTTTGGAAAACTAGAGAACAATTACTTGAATTTCTACTAATAATTAACAAATTCATTTT